TTCAGTCCATAGCCTTGTTTTTACCCATCTGGGAATCTGTTATAATGCTTCTTTGTGGCTGTTCTTATTAGGGTGTTTCAGCAAGGCACAGCCTCTTTCTATAGAATTGATTCCTTTCTTTGCTTTTGAAGTGATGTAAAATGAGTACCTGATTCCATGGTTGCAGCCTCATCTCATTTTTCCCATGAGAGCCACTAGCCCTGTTGTGTTTTGCTGGCAAGAAGATGGATGATCCTCCACAATTATCTGAATTAAAGGAGGTGGTGTGAGCTGAAACACTTGGCCTGATGTTAGGACGAAATCTGGGTGGGGAGGAAGGGATGGGTAAATCCCTATTTCCTTACCCAGGGCGGGGAGCTCATGGGTGACTGCTGCTCTGCCTTTACACATCTAATCCTTTTCCATCACAGGGGAGCAAAGAACAAGAGTCGTCTCTGTGATAAGAGTGAATTTGGGTTTGGTGCTGCCACATCCACCTCTTCTTTCTCCCTTGGCACTCAGTGAGGTGGTAGGGCAAGCGCTGTGTCCCTGAAGCACAGCCTTGGGGACGCTCATATTTGTTTCCTCCACTGTCAGTCGAACTAAAGCAACTGTTTGTGTTCCTGCTGGTGTGGGTTGTGCTGATTCTTTGCCTTGGATTAACTGTGGATGCCAGGAATACTCTTTCTCTTGAATAACGAATACCTGTAAAATGCAGCAAGAGAAGGAAGATAGCTACAGAGTGGGTTTTGTGATAGCATGGGGCAGTGCAAGCAGTTGGCCAAAAGGGATCATTCACAGCGTAACATTTGGTGCTCTGCTAGCTGTTTGTAATGGACTGTGAAAACTTTACAGGTGTAGTATAGACAGTGCTGAATTATTTAAACTGCAACTTTCAGCAAAAAAAAAAAAACAAAAACAAACCCACAACATTAAGATCCATTGCTCTTTTTTTTTGAGGTTAGCTATCATTTTGACTTTTTTGGACTCCATGTTATGTGGAACGCTGTGCTACTCTGTGCTGAGACACTGAACTGCTTCAGGCAGAAACTACGAGCATGTTTGGGGAAGATAATTTTAATTAGTGCAATTAAAAGCACAGCCATGTTGGCCTAAGTTATCCAAATGTTGTTACCCTCTAGTCCAGAGAAAAATTATTTTCCCACTGTTACAAAACATGATGGAATCAGTCAGCAATGTGTGTTCCAGCAATAAATATTTGCATATAGGCTAGTACAGCAAGGATTTTTTTATTTTTTTCCCAGCAGCCAGCTGTGCCTCAGCAGTGACTTGAAGGCTTGCCAGGTTGTGAAAGTCAAGGCCAAGCCCTTGTCAAAAAACAAGCCAGTGAGGACCTTTGGATGCCACTGTGCAAAGGATGCTGTTTTAACTGACCAGACGTTCTCAGTCCAAGACTGATCCTCATGGAAGAGGTGCCAGGTGACAAAAACAGGTGTATTTTCTAGGGCAGGTGGAAGAGAATCATGTGTTTCAAGCTAGTATTTTATTTTGTAGTTGTGAAGGATTCAAGTTGAGGACTTTAGAGTTGTGGATAGCTTTCAGTATGTGAGTCCTAAAAGTATATCTTACTCTCACTATTTGGGTTGATGTCCTTAGGAGACAAAATACTGAAATGTAAGTGGGCCACCTGTGTGTTACCACACTATTCAAAGCAGCTAGAAGGCTGTTTGGAGTAGTCAACACCATGTGTTCATAAATGAGTGAAGTGTCTTGTTATTCTGGGAAGTGCTAAGAAGTATTTTTAGTATAATCTTTTTTTTTTTTTTTTAATTGGCTGAAACATGATATCAGAAGCAGAAATATTTTTGTTGTTGTTTTAATCTGTTCAGAGTGACAAATTGAAGCACACAAAATAATATTTTATTTATTTTTATACATGCTGTATATACATATGTATACTCCATAAAATTAGATATATATCAAGCCAAGTGCATCTTGGTCGGTCAGCTAATGGGGCCTTAATATATTAGATTTTCTTTTAAAAAAACACACTATTGTTAGCATCTAATTGACAAAATATTACTCTTTTTAACTTGCAAAACTTGTTGCCTTGCTTTTCAACAGCCCTAATATTTAATTGACTTCCTGTATAGTCACTTATTGTATGAAAGTTGAAGGGTTTCTTTCTAATTTTAGTGCAGACTGTTAAGTTTGCAAAGGTGCTAGACGGAAGTAGTGGGCTTGCTTGGTTTGAAGAGTTTTGCTAGACAAACCCCTGGTGGCTTCTAAAATGTTTTCAGTTAAGATGGATTCATATTTAAACAGTTGTCTTTAATCTCTTAGTTTTTATAGCTCAATTTTAAAGACAAAATTCACCTTGCTCAATAAATGGGTTGATTTGGCTTTATAAAGCCATGTATTTCCTGTTTATCATGTTAAACCCTTGTGGATTGTTTCTTTTGGGTAGAGATGGAATTTCTATCTCTGAAAAGTAAGGATCCAATCCCAGCTGCATTAAGTCCTGTTTTTTTCTCTTTTTTTTTTTTTTTTAAAGTGTTGCATGATGATATTGATGTGGATATAGAAAAATATTCTTCAGCATTACAGTGGGAGAAGCAAAGGAAGAAATGTAATGACACATAGTACAGTGATAGTTCCTGATGTTGTCACTTTATACTGCATGACATGGCATGTGTGACTGAGAGACTTTCACTGAAATAATTTTGTGCTGGTGCCTGTTAATTCAGCTAGTCACTTGGATAACTGTAATACAGAACAATATGTGACAGTCCAAAGGTATTCTGTAAGCACCAGAGATGACTCTGAAATTATCTGGTCTGGATTGAGCCACCCAGGCAAAATTAATTTTAGATTCATTGATCCTTAAAAACTCTGCACATGTATTACTTACAGGAAGAACCATGACTTGGTATCTTTCCTAAGTTTTATCTGACTGCTGCCCAAACCAAAAAAAGCCAAGGTGATATCACCAATTTAGGATTTTTTAATGCTTATATTGATCATTGTGCATGAAAAATGAAGCAAGACAACTGTTAAATCGATAGCAAATGTTAACAAATGGGTGGCAGATCTTAATCCAAGCAGCACTTAGCTTTGCCATTCCTTGGCTCCCAGTAGAGTGCAGTGCCATCTTTAACGTAACTTCCTTTGACAAGCATAAGTTTAATGGACTGACTTACTAGAAATTGCAGACAAGTTTTACTCCCACAAAGCTTTCAAACCTAGAATATGCTTCAGTAAGCAATTGTATGAGGCACCTTTTTTTTTAGGTACAACAATTGAGAGAATTTTCAGATGTTTTCTGTGGTTTTTATTGCTTGTGGGATACAATCATACGTGAGCATGGGATAAGAAATATTAACCATAGTTATAAATCAGTGAACCATTTTAAGAGAAAATCTAATTTTAATACTATTTCACATTTTACTTTTCCTCAAAAAGCACTGTTTTATGCAGTCAATATGGCCTTTTCAATAAAGATGCAACACACAATCAACATTTTCAGTGTGTCTTTGGCCAGAAATTGGCATGAAGTGTTTTATGTGTAGAATTGTTGATGCTTTTTTTACGTCATTCATAACTAATTTTGCTGTTGAAGCTATCCAGTTTGTTAAGCAAAGGAAATACTCCCTGAAGCAAATGAATTGGACTTGGGGAAGGGGGGTGTGTGTGTGTGTGTGTCAGTCTTGGAAGATTTTTGGAATTATTAAGTCCTGTCATTTTCATTTTATATCTGGTTTTAACTCATAAATTAAAAGAGGAAGAATGTGTTTCTGTCCATTTTATCAGTAGGCAAGCTAGGGATTGAACTAAACTAGACTAAACGGGAAAAAATAATTTTTTTACTTACAGAAGAGACCACAGCTGTCAGGAGTTTCTGACTTCAGCGCATCCTGGTATGGAGGTTTAGGCAGTGAATTCTCTCTATTGAGTGTTATAATTCACAGTAAAGCTTTGACCAGACGGATGGACTACTTGACAATTGTTTACCTAATTGTAATTGTTGATTATATGTTTTGGTCTTAATACAGTTTATTATAATTTCAACTGAAAATTACAAATATCCTAAAATGTATTTAAACTTAAAAAAAAAAAAAAGCCATATTTTCTCTCTTTTCTCCTTCTGCTCTCTTCCAAAAACATGTAAAGGCAACATATCCAGACTACCTCCAAGATAATAAAAAACAAAATCTTTTTTTCAGTGATGAAGGACTGGTGGAAGATTAGGTGATACCTAATGGCAGCTGATGCTGGGATCCCTCAGACTGATCACAGAACTTCTAACTTAAACCTTCCCTTTTGTCACTCCCTGTTAAAATATTTGTATTACTTTTTATATTCTGAGTATAAACTTTTTTTTTATTAAACATTCCAGTTAGTTGTTTACTTCCAAACCATAATGTTGGTTCATATTCAGTTCAACTGTCATCCTCAGTTTCTTTTGAGACACATAGACTGACTTTTTTAAAGATTAGTGGAAAGCCTGAAACCTCTTACTTGTGAAACTTTTATTCTTGGAAATAGTTAGAATTTAACCAGAATTATATTCTCATGTTCTGTATTTCAGATACACACACATCTAGGGGAATTTCTCTTTCTCTGTATGCTAAAGTTACAGGTGGGAGTCAAGTGAAAGGAATGGTAGCTGTTACCTGAAGTTATCAGCAGGTCTAAAGCTGTTAAGCTATCTCGTTTGTAGTACTACAAGAATTGCAGCAGCGTGTGAACATTTAGTGGTGTTTGTCTTAATTATATACTTAAATTCTAAATGAGCTTTTCATCTCAAACTGCTTTCAGAGCTATGAATTCTTTAGTAGACAAATGATGAAATAAGTTTTAAATCACTGATGTTGGACTGAAGTCGGCTTCAAGAAACTTGTTTATAAATCTGATGGTTTTATATAAAGCAAATCTGAATTAAACTGAAAAATAACTGTTAGGTTTCTTGAAACAAGAAACGTCTTTGTAAGGGCCCTAATATCTAGCATATTATTTATCTTTCCTGTTTTGGAGGCTAATTCTATGATTATTTTATGCAGGTTCCGACTGGAACGTCTCGTCAAAGTTACCCAGCTACCAGCTATCAGGACTTCAGCAACTGGGAATCTCTAATGAAAATTAAAGAGGGGCTGCTAAGACAGAAAGAGATAGTGATTGATCGGTGAGTAACCTGCTCCTGCTTCATTGATTGGATTAGATTATGTAAAAGCTATGATGTAGAAACTGACTTTCAGGAGAGCTGCTTACTCAGTGAAGTTGCCAGGTTCCAGTCCAGCAAATATTTATACACAAATATGTGGGAACTAATCCTTTCTAGGAGGGAAAATTTGACTGCTGGCTAGAAGTCTTTTACAGAGTTGGAGATTTGCTTAGGGGTTTAATGCCTCTGTAATGGAAAGGGGAGGGCGAGACCAACAGCCAGTTCTGCTGTCAGCTTCCCCATCTTAGCTTCTTACTAGTCTGGGGGTTTGTATCAGACATATTTCTGCTTGTATAGGTCTTAGAAGTGACTTGCAAGATTAATATGGGTAAAATGCATTGCCTTGATTTTCTTTTCCATGACAAGTACAGAAATGCAATATGTTTGAAGCCAGGTGATAAAAAATTGGACTTTGCAGTAACATTCAGTGGTAAAATCCTATTCAAATCCTCATGCAAATTATTCATATAATAAAATATTAAATCCAGGATCTACATGTCAGTAAATACAATCTGAAATGGGCCTTGGCAGGAACTCACTGCTGTTAAAGTTCCTAGTATATCTGAAGTAATTTCTGGAGTTCTTGATGTTTGCATAAAATTAAGCCTTAATGAAGAAAATGTGCTTTTAATAAAGGGCTTGAGCTTAATGAAGCTTACACTAGATTAGCAGATGCCATCAGGAGCAGCATAGTTTGAATGTAGGACATTTAAGAAGGGCATTTTTATATTTGACATAATTATCATTTGGCTTAGTCTGTGTTTTAATAATAAACTCTTGGCTTGTGGCTGAAAGAGGAGTGGTTGTTCTGATCTTGAAATAGTTGTGCCCTCTTATTGATACTTTGCTCCACAGCATGAGGAGAACTGTGTAAAGCAGGCGTGTGTTGATCACAGGAATGTCTGGCATCCCGTATGAATGTTTTTATATTTCATCTAGCAGTTCCTCTCTTTTAATGGGTGGAGATAGACAATTTAAGCATAGTTTACTTTGGGACCAGTAGATTTATGCTTGTGCAAGATCTGTTCCTTTCTCTGTTGCAACAGAGCAAGGAATTGCAGTGGTTTAAGGTGTTTCTGTCCCTGAGCAATCTGGCCGGTACCTCTGCTGGCATTGTAGTGATGAAGGTTGGCATCAGCATCCCCAGTTTGATGTGGCATATTAGTGTGCATTTACCTGCCTCTGCAGCTGAAGATGGTACAGAAAGTTACAAACTGCAGCAGCTGGGGCATGGGCACACCATCCCACTCTGCCAGCTCTCCTGCAGAGATGGTGATCTCCCAATGGGATAAGCAGTTAAAATGGAAACATCCTTAACCATTCCTAACATCTCTGTCAGAGCCTTTTGATCAGCTGCTTAAAGGCTGTCTAAATTACAGTGTTTTTTTCAGGCTTGCTGTATCAATAGTAATGCTGTGTAACCTGCAGCCCCCCTCTGAGGGCCCAGCAGCATGTGTAAGTACGGTGCCCACAATGGCTAGGGACTGTCTTTGGTGCCTCTGCTGAGCATATCATTCTCTGCACACTACATGAAGGCTTGATACACAACGGCAACTAAAAAAGCCGTTCACATTATTGTTCTCACACTGGAAATGTGTTTACAGTCAAGGATGACGTTACTGAAGTGACAGGTTGTGACCTAGTTGTCTGCTAATGTTAATTGATACTGTCCACGTTGAGGAAAAAAAGCTATTTCTTGACATCTGATGGCAGTGTGCTGGTTTGTGGGTTTGTTTTTTGGGGGTTTTTTTGGTTTTTTTCTTTTTTCTTTTTTCTTTTTTTTTTTTTTTTTTTTCTGTGTAAGCACACTTTTGTGTGACTTAATGGTAGTGAATGCAGTTCTTTCTGGATTCTGAATGGTTGGTTGAGATGATACCTTTTCATTCAGCTGAAAGGGCAAAATACACTCTGGAAGGTATTGAAGTGAAACAAAGACCACTTAGTGATGTTACAGTAATTTCCCTCAAGTTGACGCTTGGTGTTACAGTCAAGCATGTTCTAAATTATAATAATGCAGTATATTATACTGTATTATAATTATTATAATACTACATCACAAAAAAGGCTCTTTTTGAATACTGAGCCTTTGTTTGGGCAGAATATTTGCCTTAAAAGTTATTATTATTATTTTAAATGAAATAATTACTTAAAATAGATTGTGTGTAGTGTTTAAAATCAGTACAAAGTGATTTGCATATTTAGAAAGATTTTACAACAGACTTTTTATTTTTTGTTTTTAAGAACAGGTAGTGTTTTCTATGACAACATTTCTCATTTCACTCATGGAGAAAATGGTACATAGCTACAGTCCAAAATCCTAGAGATAGAACTCAATTATAAAACACTAGTGTTATATTTCTTATTAGATGGAATATTAATAAGATTTAAGTATGAATAATACCTTTCTTCAAGGCACTAAGTAGCACTAAGCAAAAATCTGATACTATTCATATTTAACTTGTGGGGGACACAAGGCCGCACGTGCTCTGAGAGTCAAGACGATGTTTGTGAGTATATCTAAATTTTCCAGCTCTTGATCTTCCTGAGCTTACTTTATACTTCTTTGCAGAAATTTAATTTATTTGGGAATAGTGATCTAAAATAAAAATATGAATTTTGCTGAAGTGTGGTTAAGTAGGATTTTAAGACAGTAGTAGTTAAATTACAGAATTTATGCTTTCAGGAAGTGGAGGAATTCCTTTGTTCACTGAGGTTTGGTAGTAGGTGTTTGCTGAGAAGGCCCTTCATACCTGGGGTTCTCATGGAGTTTTAAAAGGTATAGTGTCTGTCGGTCATGTCTCAGGCTGAACTTACAACTGGTAACTGGAGGGTGCCAGCAAGACTTATTTATTTCTGGGCGGGGACAGAAGCTTGGCAGAGAAGAGTTAAGCTCCTACTTGGTGGAAGCCAGGTGGTGATTCAGACCCAGCTGTTTGCTGCTGACAGGTACATGGAACAGCTGGATGAAAAGATGCACACCGGGAACACCTTTCTCTTGCCTTTGACACCAGCCTCCCTTTCAATCACAGGGTCACTACCAGCTTTCTTCTTAAGGTTAAACCCTCTTCTATTGGGAATTGCAGGGCCTGGCTAATCTGGGAGGTGCAGGAGATTAGCTTCGCACCATGTACCTTGTTCTGTAAGCAGTGCTTAAACCTGGTGGTAAGTAAGAAATGGAGGCCCTGCATGGGACGGTATACTTTAAGCTGTTCTACCTTTATTGTGTTAAAAAAGAGGGGAAGGGCAGGAGAAGGAAAGAGAAACCTACTGCCTGCTTCCCTTCTTTCCACACAATGATAAAAAGGCAGCAAAAATCCAGCCCTTTCAGATTAGATTATTAAACTTCCTTGTTTGGTATTGGAAAACTAACAGTTTGGAATAGCTGCAAGCAAATTTCAAATAGTCGTTAGAAAACAATTCCAGGAATAATGCTTATGATGTAAATCATCATACTTGGATACTTTAGTGTGTCACTGGAAATTCAAAGCTGTGAACAGAATTTTTAAAAACCCAAACAGCCACTTGCATCTATGTATAGGACAAGTGGCTTGATTTTTATTCTATACATTGTGTTGAACATCAAATTCAGTAATAGATTAGTTAAAATTGATCTGATTTCTGTAGTCTGTTTAGCATAACAAATGCATATTCTTAAGTATAAATGTACACAGTACATAAATGGGTCAGTTTAGAAATAGTTTGGGTTTGGTTTTTAAAACTACTGTAGGAATCACTGCCAATTTAATGAATGAGAGCCTGAAACTGGTTTTTAAGTCTGCTCATACAAAAATAGGATGGAGACCACACTTTTAGGAAGCAAAACCATGGTGTGAAAAAGGGAGCCTGGCATGTGTGTGTGCACAGGATCACAATGACACTTCCCAAAGGTGTGCATTATGTTTTCCCCACATAAGAGCTGTTGGTACAGGCTGAGAATAAGGACTTAAGGATTTTGTCTGCAAGAGGAAATGTGCTGTTGTAGCACTTATTACTAGAATGTCTGTCACCCACTGTACAAAATAATTGGATTATATCATTGCCTTATTTCTCCAGCAGTTTAGTGTGTAACACTATGTTATATTTAGCACCAGAGGGAGCCAACAGTGTTTCTACTGGTTTAGAAAATTACAACATCACATTTTAATTCTTTGTGTTGCTCTTCTGTTCAGTACATTAACAACACTGAAATTACAGTGTTTGGTACAATTGTGAATGTCTCTTGAGACTGGCCAGCCACTGTGGATGTCTCTAGCATGATCCTGGCACTGTTTGTTTGGCAGGGACTGCATACAAGGGGTACGTGAATAAATGCTACATATCTGAACTTATGACATAAGCTGCTGAAAATAACACTGTGCATGCTGTGTTCTCTTCCAGACAGCTTAAGGGCATTTGAACAGCTTTTTAAGGAATGGTAAATATAGAAGTATAATTTTAGTGAAGCTGTCATTCCTCAGGGCATAATAACACTTACAATCTCCAAGCAGTTGCTAAATCATTAGCTTTCCATCCATAGCTGAGTTATGCTTAGATGTTGTCATTGGGACAATAGAATTAGATTTTCTTTGCCTTGTATCAAATTGTCCTGTCTTCAGTAGCTGACATCACATTGTGTGTGCTCTGATAGTGCTTGTGTTACTGCTAGTGTAAAGCAGTAATTCTCTTAATTTGGGATGGTCTGTTAAGATCTGCAGCATTGATATGTCCACTTGAGTGATAATTTGATGTCATTCTTAAAGAAGCTTTGAAGCTTTGCACCACCCAGGGTCTGAGCACATGCACGTATAACTGTGAGTTCTGTGCAGGGAGGAGGGCTGTGTGAAACCTCCTCAGTGTGTCTCGTTATGTAAAATATTCTTTGCTTGCAATAAGAGCTTGAAAAACATGCATTAATCTTTTTCTGATGTCACCAGTCACCCAGTAACTTGTGTTTGAGGCTTTTGTGTCATGGGCTGGTAAAC